TGGAGAACGGAGTCTAGGCTGGGTGGGACTGAAGCTGAGAGACCAGTCAATCAGATTTGCACGTCAGGTCTGAGAAAAGAAAGAGAGATCAAAGATCACTCCCAGATGCCTGGCCTGGGAGGGTGGGATTATTATGGTTTAAGATGAGGACAAGGGTAGAAGGAGCAAACTGGGAAGGTGAGCCGGGGGAGTGGATGTGGACAATCAGGAATCTGGTTTTGGATATGCCTATTTAATATCCAGGTGGAGCATGACTGGTCAGGTCAGCTGGATATAGGAATCTGAATTCAAAGGATAGGTTAGGTTGGAAATATACACACACACACACATTTATGTGTGTGTGTGTGTGTGTGTGTGTGTGTGTGTGTGTGTATATATATATATATGGATGAATTATCAGTTTATGCCTGATTTTGAAAACCATGAAACTGAGTTCAACAAGAGGGAAAGAAGGTCAATCTGAGCCCTGAAGCATCTGAAAATTTAGCAGGTCAGGAAGCTGAGGACGCTTCAGAGACTGAGAAGGAGGGACACTGAGGCAGGAGGGTAACCAAGAGTAGTGCACAGGAATCTAAGTGAACATTTATTTAAAATTAAGGCCTTTCCTGCATATCCATTCGTTCAGTCAACAAATATTTATTGAGCACCTACTATGTGCCACACGCTGTAGAAATACATGGTCCCTGTCCTTATGGAGCTTGTAATCCAGGAGAACACAGACAAATAAACGTTTAAGTGCTATTCCCAATAAGGTACAGGGTGTTTGGGGATAATGCACTAGGGCAGCTAATTCAGTCTTGGAGGGTCAGTGAAGGCTTTCCTGGGAAAATAATGTTGAAGCAAAGATCAGAAGGGTGAGTAAAAATCAGCCATAGCAGGGTGGAGGTGGAGGTGGAGGTGGAGGTGGGGAGACTGAAGGAAGGGTGGAGGAAAACTGCATTTGTAAGGGCCATTTATAAGGAGCTCAAGTGAAGAGACACAGTGATGCTCCAGGGGAGCTGAAAGCAGTTCCGTATAGGATGCAGAGAAAGAGGAAACAGATGAGCAGGATATGGGCTATCACTGTCCTTTAAGACTCCTCAAGAGTTTGAGCTTTATTCCCAAGGCAATGGAGAGCCAGAAAATTGTTTTATGCAAGGGAATGCAATGATCAGCTTTCTATTGCAGGAGGAGCACTCTACGACATGGACAGAGAGCAGGAAGGGGACAAGGCTGGGTGACTGGAAAACTAGTTAGGAAGCCTGGCCAGGGGTTCACCACTGAGCTGCTGCTGATCTGAACTCAGGTAATGGCAGTGGGATTTGGAATGTGGACTCAACAGGACTTTGGATTGGAGGAAGGAGGAGAGAAACGAGCCAGAGATGATAACCTAGTTTTTGACCTGGGCAAATGAAGAGATAGTGGTACTACTCGCTAGAAGAAGCAACACAGGAAGAGGGGAAGGTTGCTGGTAGGGGGAGGGGGAGAATTTCTTGAGTCTGAAATGCCTGTGGGCGATCCAAAAAAAATGGTAAAGAGACAATTGGCTATAAAGGTCTAGAGATCAGCTATACAATCTGCAATAGAGTTGTAAATTTGGAATCACAGGCATGTAGATTAAAGCCATGGGAAAGTGTAAAATAAAACCCAGAAAGTGAGAGGAAAAAAAAAAAAAGAATAGAGGAATGGGAAGGCCTGGCTCTGGTTAAAACCAACATGAAAGGAGCAGCAGAGAAGGAAGAATCCTAAAAAAAAAGAAAGAGTGAAAGGGAGAGATATGGAGGGAGAGAGAGCCTGAGAAGGAACAAGGGATTCTGGGATAAAAGCAAAGTGTATAGTGTATATCAAGAAAAAAGAGCTAATTATGAATTTTCATATGAATTCGCGTACAGAAAAATACCTTATTTTATTATTTACACATTCCAAAATCAACCAACTAATATTTTTCATCAGCTATAATATATTCTAGTCATAGGATAATCTTATCCTAGGTGAATAAGCAAAAGATGAAATAAGGTAATTATCATTAGTAAATATGTGTGTTTTAATAATAGTAAAAGTGCTAAACACTTGGACAACACTATAAACTTCAGATAAAAAGTGAAATAAATGTTAGAAAAGGGAAACGTAGTCTGTAAAACTGAGGAAAATTTTTTCACCTTTGGCTAAAAGAATAAAGCAAAAGCAAGTTGAACCTAAAAGCATGAATACTATATGGTAAGTAAACAGGAGAATATCAGAGGATTCAGTCTATACAAAGTGATTTTGTGAGGTAAATTACTCAAGGGTAGATGTCAGAGCACTTCACAGATCAGAACACACACACACTCACACACACACACACACACACACACACGCAACACTTATCTGGCTCAAGTAAGTGAAACCAATTTTGAAAAATACATCTTTAAGGGTGCAAAGTATCTAAATTTGTCACAATATGACGCCCTGCTGTATAATGCCAAGATCTATTCTACTGGATTGTCACAATTCTTTATTTGAAGGATTTTTATTGTTCGTTTTTTTAACCTTCCAATATATTCTCAGAGGGTGGTGTCTACAATTATTCATTTATCAGCACAATTAGATTCTAATTCTTAAGATGAACAAGAAATTTCTGATTATTTTTCAACAAAGCAACAGACCTAATTCATAGAAGGTGGAGGTAGGTAATTAGATAAGGCATAAAACAGACTCCTATTAAGTCACTACATGGATTTCTTCTGTTCTACAAAGTTGTTTTCTGGCTGATTAACAGCATTAATATTATGACATATATGCTCATCTCTTCATTAGGTAAAAACACAAATGTATTATTCAAACATGATACATTTAGGAAGTTATTGGTTTTTAAATTTTTTAAAAGAATGACGGCACTACTCTAGAATGTAATACTTCTAATAGAATTATGCACAAAAATTAAGTGCAGTGTTCAAAGGCTTAGATAGATCTATCAATCTAAAGTTGATACCCAAAGTATTCCTGTGGCAACTCTCTTTGTATTACTAATAAATATTCATAAGATTTAATATGCATTAGAAGCATCAACAACAGATAACTAAACAAAGACAATAATTGAAGAAATTCCCCTCATGCCTCATTCTGAGATTTTAAAGTGTCTGACAGCATAGAGCCTCTTTATTTCTATTCCACATACAATCCAAGCAAACTACCTATATTAAAAAAAAAAAAAAATTTCATGGTCTAACACAAACTCAAGTGTGTATATAGTCTTCATATGAGCAAAATACAGGCAATAGCATTTTCTTGGTTTCCAAACTAGAATATGGCCATGCCAGCAGTAAGGTTCAAATGAAAACAAATTTCACAGCCCTTAAAAAAATACATAACTGTCATTGTTAATAAAAGCCAAGTTTGCAACCGGAAACACTGCCTTGTAAGCCAAGGACAAGATGTGTCTATTACAAATTCTCGGTTTCAGGACATCTCTTAAGTGACAAAAAAAAAAAAAAATTCAAATAACATTAGTTCTTGAGAATATAATGCAAATGGATGCTAATTAAAGTGTTCCCAGAACGGTGACAAATAAAGCTTTAGGACCAAGATACATATCATTATGTAACTACAATACACATTAAGCAATCACCAAGTTGTAGGTAGGCCTTCCAAAGGAGTGATTATGGTTTACCATGATCAGAGGATTGTGGTGTTACATTTAATCACGTTTTTTTTTACCTGCAAGCAGGTGTTTACAGGTGTCAAGAAGTAAAACACTGATTCTAACTGTAAACCTATAGTTCTAATAAATTGTACTGTACCTACCCCCCTCTTTTCCGCATACTTTCTAATCTGCTATGAGGTAAGCATGATGCAATTTTCTCTGGATACTTAACAATCAAAAACGTAACTTTGGATTCATTTTTATTAAAATGCCAAAACACACGTTTAGAACTAGACTTTGTTTCAATCACCATTAAGTTCAGATTTAACATGAGGCACAAAATGAATGTAAGTGCAGCCTCATTTGGAGATGTTACTGCTACCTAAAGTAACCTTCAATCTTTGAACCAAAATATAAGCATCTCAAAAGTAAAGTTTATATGGATAACAAAACTCAGTACATTTAGTGAGCAAATTACAAATACCATCGACGACACACTAAACACGATATAGTTGTTATAGAAGTAAACTCCAAACACAAGGAGAAAAAACGATACGAGAGGCAACAAGGCATTTGGGTGTCATGACATGAATCAATGGATTTTCTATGATTTCTGTCCTGTTTGCTCAAAAAAATTTCAGGAAGTCTGGCTTAAAATCTTCTAGGGCCTTCCAAAACTGCTGATCTGAAGTCAGTGCAAGCCACCTGACACCCCAGAGCAGCTCACCGGACTTCTGAGCAGTGAAACAGCTTACATAAAAGAACAGTAAAGGCAGATTTTTCAGGAAATTGGAATTACATCTCTGTAGTTTTCCAAGGCTATGCTTAACCTCGCCATGGGAAAAGACTTTTTTTTTTTTTTTTTTTGCCCAAAGCAGAGCAGCAGCTAGGACACCCATGGGTGTGTCAAAGAGAGACTAAGGTCAAGGTGCAACAAGCACACCAGCTGCCATCACCTCGAGAAGAAACCTTGGGTGTGCACATCCGAAATGCACAAAGCCACCCCTTACCAGCCCGACTCCAAGAATACTGGAGGATGGAGACTGAAGGAAAACAGACTTTCGGTATTCCCAACCTCCTGAAATGGAAGAATTCCCTGCTCAGAGGTGACCAAGTTGGGGACATTTCAAAGTGAGGAAACATTCTTGCAAAAGAACCACTGGCAGTTCCTGGAAACAAAATGGGCGAGGCTTCACCTTGCTAGTAGTCAGGATGGGGTGCTCCCACCAACCAGGTCAAAGCCCCCCAAAGCCTCTTCTTAGGCCGGTATAAAGTGACTCCCCACTGAGAGGACACCCCCCCCACCTACACACACACACACACACACACACACACACACACACACACACACGCATGCACGCACGCCACAGGGGGCCGGAGATACTGCCTCTGTGCTTACCTCACAGGCAGGGGACACCCGGGCCTTGAGCGTGTCACCATCTCCCTCCGGCAGACCAGTCCGACGCGTGGCCATCATTTCATTTCAAATTACAAAGAAGGGACCACCCCTTTGGAGTCCACATTGGGGGGTAGAAATGCCGCCACACAGCAAAAAGGGAAGAATTCCACACGAGGCTCCGAGGAGGGGCAGGGCTGGCCAGACAAATAACGTGCCACGGAAGGAATGTTTTTATAAAACCCCTGCAAAATGCCCTGATGATTTCTTCGGACTTCAGCTGACTGCACCGTCTTCGTCCATTTCTAGAGACTTCAAAAAACAAAGACAGGTCTCCTTGGCAGCTAGTGAGGCTGAATGCAGAAAGCAGTCCCCTTCCTCGCGAGTCCAAGAGGAATCTGAATGGGTCGTGAAGGCTCGAGCGTCAGCTCCCAACGAGATCGCTCCTGAACAGGGAAAAGTTAAAGGGCATGAACTTTCTCCAGACGCTGACCTTAGCCTTGCCCACAAGTCTAGCCCAAGTGCGCGCTTCCTACACCTAGAAAGATGATTTGGTCCATACCGAAGAACCACAAGCATGAAAGATGGAATAAGCCTCCAGTACAAAAGAAAAGACATACAGACAGAGACAGACAAGACAAGACAGAAAAGAGAAAGCTATAAATCAAGAAAAAAGAAACATCGGAACTGCACGATGGTCGCGTCAAACACGCCTGGCTGTTTTGCAACCTCCAAGAAAAACCATTCCCTTTTCAAGTGCATTTAGTTAATGCATTTTCTGGGCAGAAGAGGAGCGCGTCTGTTCTTCCGCATCACCCGGATACGTACACTTAAGGGAAGTTTTCTTTCCACGAGACTGAAATGGGATAATACTTTTTGAAAACCCTCCTCGCTCCCTTCCCACCCACCCCCAAAATAAAAACAAAAAGCCAGCCTCGGACGCGGCCAGCGCCGGCTGAGCAGCTCCGGGCGCCCGCAGCCTGCCCTTGCGCCCCGGCCGGTGTCCCCGAGGAGGCGTCTGTTTTCCTTGGCCCGCGGCGGAGCTGGGTGGGGACGGCGCGGGGCCGGGAGGGACTTGGGCGCAGCTCCCTCCCTGGGGCATGATTCCCGAGCCACCTAAATGAAGCCGAAGCCCAAGCAACTTTTATTTAGTTGCGGCTCCCCAAACTACCACTCGACACTATCTTTCCCTTTCCCTGTGGCCACCTAGGGAAAAAAATAAAATAGAAAAAAGAAAACCACCACCCACCTACCCCGATTTCCCCCGCCCCTTCCAGAGGCGGGTCGGTGATCTGGATCTCCTGAGAAGGGCGGCCTAAAACATGCACTTTGAAAAATGGTGTGGGGAGCCCAGGGGGAAAGACAAAAAGCTAGGGGCTCACCCTTC